GTACAATACATGAGGGTCATCATAGAACATTTGTTGCGTACCATTCCCATGGTGAATATCCTGAATATGAATTGTTATTTAGAAAGTATCAAATTAAATATTGATTGAATAGAAATYCTTACCCAATCTACAATCAAAACTCTTTCTACAGACATCTTAAGGCGTAAAATCCTTGCTGCAATTGCAACATTGTTAAAGTAACAGAAGCCCCTGAAATYAAAATTGACACCTGTAATGAATGGCTCCATTTCAAGATTAAATAGCATTCCTTCACATGGCTTACATGGCTTGATGGGCTTCAGCATGATGACCAGGTGGGCGAACAATTGCCATTCCATTCTAAATAGCAAAAGTTGAAGAATTCACTGTGGTTGTCATARGTTTGATTCTTATTTTAAAATCATGTGGAAATACTCACCTTAAGTTCATGTGCTGCTACTTTACTTGCTAGTTCTATRACACAACCAACTGCCATTCTAGCAGCATTTGCACTATGGATTTCATTCCATATGGTATCACCATCAACCTAATATAAGATTTTACATTTGAATGTCATTCATTGGGAAGTGAGTGGACTTGTTTACTTTTGCTTYAACCCATTGCATCAGTATCCTAAGGCCATGGGTTCAATACCCATACAAATGAATCCTATTTCAATACTATTTCTAATTTATCTATTATGTATTYCTATTGTTACTTACCCCCATACCACCACATGGTAATGTGTTAAAACATTTCAGGGTGGTTATGGTTCCTGGATAAATACAATTTGTATCATTAAAATCATTAAATATTTGTACTTCATAAACACAACGTGTATCTTTCCTCACCATCTTCAGCTTTTGTTCTACACTGTGTGCTTCCCCCATAAAGCATTGTGTGTTGTTCACTATATGTCAAGAAAGAGCCATTAACACAATCGTTGAGCANGTATCAATTTCATTTGTACATACCTATGAACAGTAAGAATTTCTGGTAAAGAGGCTTTTCTGGGTCGTACACGCTATAATATAATATGAGCACAACGAAATTTAATCTAATAGCTCAATCCAATAAGTCTCTGTTTAACTGGATAACCATCATATTCATTGTCACAATTCATACCTCACATATATTGGTCACACCAGTCTCTTGTAAACGAGCCCAAATGCTTTGAAGGCGACCAGGATGTTCTGGATGTGAGCTAGTTTCACCACATGAACATTGATGTTTTAACATTAGTGTATCATACGCTATTCCTGTRCGATTTGTTGTTGCTGATCCTTGGCCACTTCCTGGAATAATCATTGAGCAAAATCAAATRGTTTGYTAATTATAGTATTGTCAAGTATATAACTAAGGGAGACTACATACCTACAGCAGGAAGAGACACAGCTCTTGTAAGTGGTCTGTGAGYACTGTGACCTACTGATGCACTWGGGGAAGCAACAGCAGCCAAAGGAGCATCCTGTAATTCTGCCTGGCGTAACTGTATAAGTTGATGATGCAGCTGTTGGTTTAAAAGATTCCTTCGAGGGACATCTTGTCTTTGAAGTTGTTGAATCAATAGTTCCTGAAACTGTTGATCAGTTAATCCTCCAGGTAATGTCAAATCCTCTGTAGTTCTTGCCTGTGCCTGGACAAATTGTTGTTCTTTCTTATGCTGTTGGTATGCTCTTTCTCTTAGGACAGCTTGTTCTTGCTCCTTCATCTTTCCTAAGTGATCTTTAAGTGAAGTTGCTTGTTCTTTCTGTAACTGCTGTTGTTTAGGAAATCCTTGTTTTCCAAGAATAAGCAGTTCRTGTTGAAGAAGCTGTAGGTATGCTGGAGACTGTCTTTGCTGTTGCTGTAAAAATTGCAGATGCTGTTGCTGTTGCAAAAATTCCTGGTTCTGCTTCAAAATCTGCTGTTGTTGTTGGTTCTTTGATAAAGAATAGCCAGGAGCTGAGAGAGTTTGTCTTAGTGGTCTATGAAGGGATGAATTTTGTAAAGCAGGTTTTGGAATTGATAGTAGATTGTTTTGAGATGGAGGTGACTCTGGACRAGTGAATACAGGATGTACACTTCCAGTTAGYAGAGCATTAGAGTTCAATGCAGGTAAATTCATAATCTTCATTTGGGCCTTAGCCAGTGCAATGTTATTCAACTGAGCACGTTTCAAAGCAGCAGCATTCAAGTTACTGCTGCCCTCTTCTTCCATACTTTCATAATCATTTTGTTGCTGATTTTGTAACTCAAGATCTCTTCTAGAATGGTGAAACATATAACGGTTTCTGATAAGCTGATTGATGTGGGAACGATCAATGTTAGCAGATAAACGTGGTATGGCTTGAAGATTTGGAAGACTGTGTCCAAATGTTGATCCAGGGGCACCTAAAGGTGATGTACGCTATAATAGAAAAAGAAATTCCATTATGGATAAGAATAACTTTATACAAATCTTTAGAACACATAGCAATATACTCACTTCTCTTCCAGATGAAGCTGACAAGGACTGAGTTGGAGATCCAGGATTTGATCTATCCAGGGTTTCATTACCTGTTGTCTCTACTATATTTTTTAATCAAACATAATGTTTTAGTGAGTGTGCAGCAAGTTTATAACACTTATAACAACTAATATAAACTGTCTACACACAGAAAAATTCTTTTTTAATTAAACAAAATATTGATAAACAACTTTAATGTGATTAGACCTATTTTACCTATAAATTGGTGTCAACAATAATCAAGCAATTATACACATTAACACAATTCAAACATATCATCTGCATTTCCATCCAATAATATTGAATAAAAGAGTTTCAAGGGAAAATAGAAATACTTACATGTTTGGCTTCTGTGTAATTTATTACCAATTCTGTCTCTTGTTGGTCTGTGTAACAGAGGACTGCCTATAGATCTGTGCTCTGCAACTTTTGCTTTCAGTCGAGACTTTACTTTTAGATTAGGCTCAGAAGCTATTTGTAATAAATAAAGTACGAATCAGCCTTTATTATTACTACACTATTGCACTAGCAAATCTTACATTCTGATTGGCTATGCTACTAAGGGTCTATTTTCAATAGTCATCAACTAGTGAAAAGCACCAACTTTGATTTTCTTTTACAAATATTGTGGGTCAAATTGATGTGTTAAGGACCATTTTAAGTTGTTGTTGTTTTTTTTCAAACTCGCCACCATATAATGAATTTATTTTCACTTGTCAAACATGCCAAGTGTGTCAAACAACATCAGAGACAATTTATGCACATTTAATTAAAGCTGTTAGTGAGTATTTTTTGTAAAAAAAAACAACAAATATTGCTACGTGAGCTATGAGCTGATAGCCCAKTGGTAGTCCACTCGCCCTCGAGGTCTGACTGTTAAATACCAGACAATACTTGTGCCAATCAAACAGAATATTATAAATTCCAGGAGGAAAGGAAGGAATTCAGGACAAGCAGGACAAATACAAATTCTTAATATATAATGCAGCTTAATTTTACAGAAAAGTATACAACTAAATTAACAATAATAATACAACAACAACAAAAACTTTAGAAAAAAAAACAGGAAAGAGGTAAATAGGGTGTTAAGAACTGTTAAAACAAATTAAATCAGACTGACCAATATGGCAAACTGATTCAAGTCTAACAATGTAAACTGTCATCTATCAAAAAACTAACATTCTAGAACATCTTTTGGTCAAATAATTTACTAAGATCTTCAAATATGCCAGACAAGTAGCTACTACCTATGTTTTCTTGTACTTTATTACTGTAAAGTTACTGGACAGTTGTAATCCATGCACTAGAATACACAGTGCCATACAATGTTTTCTAATATTGTTTCACCTGTTTTTCTCAAGGGGAAATGACTTGGATCAAGATGCTGGGATCCTAGTGGAGCAAGATCATCGGCCTTTTCTAAGTTTTGACTCCTAAAGAGAGAAAATATATTTTAGTAACAAGAAGAACATCATCAATTGCACATTTTAAACAATGTTRAACTATTTCTAGTAACCTTACCAATGTTTAAATGCCGAATCATTAGTCAATGAAGCCACAGCCTGTTCTCTTTGCTTTTTATTTAACACAAAGTTTTGKAGTCTTTTCTTGACATCCACATGAGTAACTAGAATATTGCAATCCCTGTTACTGACATGATATACATAGCTGTTATCATGATATCAATAATAACAAATAACCATACTGTTTAATATATCTTATCCCAAGTAGAACCTAATTCTGATGTTTAGGTGAGCAAATCCCTTCTAAACTAGTAAAACTCCTTAACAACAGCAGGTGGTCTCAAGATGTACACAATGCATGATTTCTTCATCCTACTATTACAATGGACATCACTATGCTTAAAGTTAACAATACATATTATGGTAAGCCCCTTCATTCATATCAGAAAAGGAAAAATCCTTAAACAGAGTATATATCACGTTCATGACACTACAATCCTAAGGATTAGTCTTTTGGGGCAGCATCGAAAACATAAGTAGCGGAAATATTTGCAAATTTTGATTCATTCCTGAAATAGAAACAAAAAATGTATAGCCTGAACTCAAAAAACCAGTCATGCACAGAGGACACTGGAACTCTGAAATTGGACCTAAAAATTCCATATCCTAGAGTCTTATGTTTTTTGTCAGTAATGACCAAGAAAAACGAAGGATAAGAGTACAAGATTGATAACACTGCTGAAACTTACACTCTTGTTGTGAATGTGCTGTGGTCACTGGAGGTCTTTTTTGTGGCTCTTCACTTGACAATGTTTGTTTGTCTAGTGATCCTTCATCTTGATCCATCAGCATTTCATCTTCTTTCGGTTCTTCTTCTGGTTCAACCTTACAATAAACACTAACACATCAGTCACTATTCTTGAACATTGAATATAAGACTGTTTTAAGAATTGTAAAATGAGGTATAAATGTGGAGGATAAAAAGCCCTAAGTACTTAGGCTAAGACTAGTCAAAACATGACTGTAACATAAATACAGTCAATCTACAAAAACTATCTTCWGTAATATCATATCAAGTTAATTCCAACAGACAAACATATACCAAATTGTACAATTACAGTTGTAAAATATGATCAATTGAAAGAACCATGTATTCAGAGATAAAATCTTTCCTTTTCTATAATATAATTTGTTATCATTTGTTCAACTGAAATTTCTAGAATGTTTGAGAGCTCCTATATGCAACAACATTTGATTTACCTTGATTTTAGGCTTTATAGCTGCTTGTTTCTCCTGTTGCATTTGTGTTTTGGTACTTTCTTCCAACTTCTTTTGTTTGTGATGGCCATTTAGTTCTGGATTTTGAATGGCTTGTCTGTATTTATGTAGTTCTTGATGCTGTAAATATTGCTGATGTTGTGGATTGTAAAACATATAGTGTGGAGGATTTTGCATCTGCTGTTCTTGTTGTTTCATATGTAATAGTGCTAACTGCTCAGGTGTAGTTATGCTGTAAATATCAGTGCCTTCTTGCTGTGGAGGGTAATGATCATCCATGTCCATGGCTAAATAACAAAATAAGAAACAAGATATAATATTATCAGTGTAACTAACACACACCAATATTCAGTTACAGAGGAATAAACAAAACAAAACAAGGAGCCATGATAACAAACATGTTTACAACAAAATATTCATTTTCATCAGATAGATGGATTATGCATCAGCAAAATGAAATAATCTGATAAAAAAAGATGCTCCTCTTACCATGTGCTACATAATACTGCCTTATATACTGGCTAGTTATTGGCATAACAGGATGAGAACCAGTTACCGTTCTGCTACCTTGAGATTCTGAAAGTGTCAATCAGTAGAAAAGCATTAAAGTAAAGTCTTTATAATATATAAAGAAATAGACTTTCCTTACTATTCGAACAGAAAAGCTTGCATTGTTTGAGAAAACAATACACTATGTAAATATTAACATAACATAATATTCAGATTCAAACTTTTGATAAAATGCAATATTTGTGCAGCCCAAGTAAAATATAAATTCAGACAATGAGRGATTAAAATACTTAGTGAATACCATGGTAAACATCCATGACACTGAATAATTTCTCTTGTCTACTAGATCTAGTAATGGCAGATTCCTCTCATAAAGTGCATCTGTAGATTAGCTAGATTTATTAAGAAATTACTGTAAAATCATACTGCATATCACTTTAAAGAGAAKTATACACTAGTTCAATATGTTTACAGGTCTGAATTTGTTTACTATAAAAAGTAATTAATCAAATAAGGCAAAACCAAAATCAGGTGTCTGACTGTAAAGAATAAAAACCTAAAAATGCCTGCATGGAGTCATCATGATTTGCATGTAATACTTTCTTGTTAACACACCTTTACAAAYCTATCAGGCAAAGATAAGTATATTTTTTGCAGGTAACTTTAAAAAATTCCTTTTAAAAGTGAGGGAAAAAAAATCATGTTTTAACAATATAAAAACATTTTGTGAAAACAAATCCCCACTGCAATTTTATGATAATATTCTAAAAAAATACAATTTGAGAGTATGAACTTAAAAAAAAGCACTGAAATATGGAGAAATCCACCAAWTTAAAAATAGATACCCTATAATTAATTCATTATGATATCAAATTGATTCTAATTCTCAATCAACTAAATTGAAAGATAACTTTTTACTTTCTGCAAAAATTGATGAAAAAATGAAAAAGAAATTCTATAATCATTCTATGAAAGTTTTTGTTCAGRACCATAACATAGTAATTATAAATGAGCCACAAACGTGTCTAGATTCTTCTGTTAGGTGTTTTTAAGCTATTACAATATCTTCTTTTGAGCCTCTGATGATGACAAAAAAAAAAACAGAAAAAGGATGAAACTGAAAATAGCAATAATATCTAGTTGCATTTTTGCTCTACATAATTTATGTCCTGCTTTAAATAACTATCAACTGGAATAAAATATCAAGGATTAATTTTGGTACCCTAAGTGCTCCTAAGAGAGAACAGAAATACAAGTACGTGTACAATATCTAAATGTTATAAATCAAATATTAATATCAATTGATTATATTCTGTTTAGCATCAGTTCATCTAAAAAAAAATTCTCTGGGTTCACAGTAGAAAAAAAGCAAAAAGAAACTGCAAGTACTTTCATCTATTAACCAGTGATCAACTAAGCAATAAATGGTAATTTTTGCTCACTACTTGTTCCTAATGAGAACCCTACATTCTGTATTATTAACTACACTTTTTAGTCATTTATTCTTAAGAGAACATTATTCTCCTCCATAAAGTTCTTTTTTGTATAACGTCTACCTTAATAAAAAAAATGCGAAGATATCAAATCATTTTATAAAATTTATATATAATTATTTGTGTTATTATCTGCTGAAATCAGTCCAGCCTKACCTAACCCCCTCCCCTACCCCCACCGAAAAAAGGAAAAGGGCCAATTGAATATTCATTGACCATTTTGATTTTGATCATGTGAATTACATGGTTAAATATCTTAAAACCATGATGTTCAATGATTGAATGATATAATTTTCATCATCATACTGGACAATTATACTGGATATGTTAGCAACATAATCATTAACTACCTTTCCTACATCTGAAATATTAAACAATGATAAGAAAATGATATCCAACAAGGTAAGATAAACAATACCAACAAATCAAACTTACTAATGAAATTTTCGTTTACTTGTATACAGAACATGTAGTTAGACAAACAAAAAATTAACAACTTATTAATGGACAACAACTAGGTAAATAAAATATTATTTTTGAATTGTAGTAGGAAGAAAATCAGATAGGAATAGAGACAATGATTTGTTTTTGTTCAGCAATAAATGACATAAATGTTCAATTTCAAAAAAAAAAGACACTCAGTTTTGAGCATGAAGGTCACTGTTTAAACTACTTATACAAGAAAGCAGAGCAGCTACTGTGCAGATCAGTTCAATATTGTTTACTTTACAAAAATAAATCACTGACAGTCAGATAACAGAATCTATTTATATCTTATTTAATTTACTTTCTATTAAAAACACCTATAAGATGCAAATCTGAAATTCAGAGGAAAATTTTCATTTAGGATCTGATAAAAAATAAGATTGAAAAAGACATCTCAATCTACATAGGAAGAGAAATACCTATTGTATAGCTTTTGAAAGACTTCACAATATATCATTATTACAGTAAATCTGTACAATTCATTTGAACACAATGCTTAATGGTATGTTGATCTTTTTCTAGGTGCTGTTATTATCGGGTTATAAGCCATATTCTACAGACAATTTTGGTAAATTTTAAAATATATGTGTATACTGGCATCTGCCATCAGTAGAACAAGACACCCCACTTCTGATGTATTTAATCAACACACAACAACAATAATTATTTCAAAGTGTTTGTGAACACCTTCTCTCTCTTCTCGTTCGCATATTTACCCGACATGGAATACAAAAGGTAAAAGAGCTAGTATGTAAAATGTGCAGCCCTTTTAGCTATTTTTCTAAAACAACAACAGATTAGATGTGATGTTATGCTAATTCTGACCTATTTGCTGAACCACTATTTTTAACAAAGTAAAAAAGGACCATCAAATCTAGTTTCGAACCTCAGAAACATTCAAATGTTCTATCTTTATCCTCTCGATCATTTTTAACCTGGACCACATCTTACATATTTACAATCAAAACTTGGACAGTTGGAAGGGATTACGGAGTGTTTCAAATGTTATTATTTTTCAGTGCACTCCTGCATGATCAGACTTTGCATGGTGTTTATTAGAAGGAATGGTGTTTTACACTGGAACAGTCTCTCCTGATATACCTAAACAGGCGCGAAATTTGTAAAAGGACCAATTTCCTTCGTTCCGTTCTTGAAAAGTTGGSTGGTATAAATAAGGGGGGCTTGAGCTTCGATGTCATGCTCRTACTCGCATAAGCCAATTCACAAATGACAAGCTAAAAATATATCTTACCGAAAAGAGCACCTATAACCATCGCCTACCATCGAAAACAAAACGTGCCAGCTTTAATAAGCGGACCATTGTAGCCAAATGTTTTTTTATTGGAACTGATCGATGTTCAATAGAACTTTTAAATTTCTTTGAATAAGCTAGTTGTATAAACTACCAATAAGGCGCTCGGTTTGGTCTTGCAATTCATTCGTTATTGAAAATCCGTTTCAACTGTTATTAAAAACGGGATAAAACAGATAAAACCACATTGGTATTTTAAGACAAATTTTGCTCGAACCGGGTAGCGGTGTTGTAGAGGTGACTGACTACATGTCAGACAAGTACATCGGTCGGTTTGCTGGAAGAACTATAGTTGTATAAATTATAACCACCCGCCCAGATCAATCATTTTGAAACTCTTATCACGATACACAAGCTAGGTATTGACATGAGGTAGCAAATATACCATTTTCTACCTGAATCATCAGCATCCATTGGACGCGTGAATGAGCATCACATAGCAGTTGAGGTTGAACTGCCGAAGTCTTCTCGAACAGGGAACACTTCGAATATCTCGAGGACTATTGCGGCTACCAAATGAGTATCTCCAATGCTAAAAGCACAGAAATAAATAAAAAACACTGGATAAACAGACTAAAACGAAATAAAGGAGCTTACTATCGATAAGACCGCCAAAACGAATAAACGAATACGGCCAATACAGTGAATGGGTTCGATTTGGTTCATTCGGTAGTCACCAATGCAATGACATGGATAAAAATTTCAACTCAAAGATTTCTTTTAGCAAAAAATTAGGAGTAAAAGAGCATGAAAAACCTTGAGGCGATATTTTCTGTTTAAAAATTTACCTGAAGAATGTTGTTGGACTGGCCAAAACTTTTCTTCAACGACGAGTACTGATATAAAAACACAACCAGTTGACAAACCAGCGTCTTGAGCACAACATAAGAGTTCGGAAAGGAACTGTGTCACGTGACCGTGTAAGCCAATCACGACAGCTCAAGGCAACCCTTCGCTGAATCGAACTCCAACCTTATCTTTTTCGTGCTATTTTTAGATCCTATTTCTCTCGTTCGAAAACATGTTTTTGGACGTCGTAAAAACAGTTTTATCGAGTCAAACAGCAGCAAGGAAATGCATTTTTTTCACTAACTTATAAAAATTGTGACTTGAACTCATACAACTATTTTTAAACCCTTCCATTTTTCACCATTCACAAAAGTTGGTGTGACGTCAATCGACGTCAATGGTTACACTTGACGTCATGGCTGGTTTGGATGAACCATCGTCGAATTAGAGGACAGAAAAAGAAAAATAGGTGGAAATGCAAATTGGGAAAACTGAGAAATGAAGTTACAACTTTTAGAAAGCCAAATCTTTGTAAAATAACCACTTTTATAGGTTTGTTTTTTTAGTTTGATCATTATACCGATTATACACAATTGAAAAAGAAAAGAACGAAAAGTGCAATGAGATCCCAATAACTGTCAACAGCAAATACGTCTATAAAATAAATGAGCAAGGAATGAATGAGCTTCATCATTTATGTATGATACAAGTCTCCATAGTTGCAAAACAATACAAGTGTCTACGTGATAGAAACGAAGTTTAGAATGGCAAATCAGGTAAATTTATGCTTCTTCAGACTRCGGTATGCGCCATTGATCGACTTTTTACGCGTGGTTTATCAGTACTGATGTCAGAAAAGCCTTTTTTATTACATCATAAAACTCGATAATTTTACGGGTATGGCTGTTTTTTTTTTTTTTTTTTTGCTTTTTTCGACCTAATAAATAAGATACAGACAAGTCACTAAAATGAATCTGTTTTTATAATAAATTAGTCAATACAAATACAGCATATAGTGCTAATATGAACACCTAAAGAAAGTTTTAATTTTCGTCATAAAATTGAAAAGTCATTTCATTTGAATTTTAAGTGTTTGAGATAGATGAGTTAGCCTGCTTCTCAGCTGCTCTTTTTGATTCTTCAAATGGGCTTCGACTTGCAGGATTTCTTTGAGCAAGTGGTCCATTTCAGATGGAAAAAATGTCTCAAAGGCCTCGCTTTCCCTGCATTATGAAGTAGATTATAAATTAATTTGCTCAAAAAATCAATCTAAAGTGATTTATTCTTACGTAAAAGGAGGTTTCCACTTAAGCAAAAACATCTGTGCCTCTTTTCCCTCATCTGCAATTCAATAAAATCCAAATGCGATGTAATACTAATTTTATACATAGTTTCTCAGTTATCCCATAATATACAAAATAGCAGAATACAGAAAAGCCCTCGTAGTTCGGCGAATCCAGCCTATATATATAAAAAACTAGTGATTTTCCAGGTTTAGCCTAAAGTGGGTCTTGGTAAATTGCTAAGGTTTAAGTGCTCCTCGTGACATAGTGGCTGTCACACTCACTTGTGTATCAGTTTGCGTCAGTATAATAGGCTAATGTGTATGTTATAGCTACGATTGTGATATTCCACGTTATGCCTCTCGAAACCATTGTATTACTGGTATTTACTCGGTTTAATAAAATTGCCTGACTTTCCTCACTTGTTAAAAATGGGGCATCAATGAGTAAATAAAGAAATGTTCTATTTTTGGGCAAGGTAAGGGTGGACTATATTTGCCCCTTCCCCTTCGAAGGAGTACTGAGGACACCTACCTTGGATAACTGCTTCAATAAGTCTGATGTTGGTCTTATTGGATGGTATAAGAATCTCCTCCTTGACCAGACTCTCAGACCCTGGTAAATCGCATTATTTATTTTTATCTTYAAAGAGCTCAGTAATGAACAGAAAAGCGCGATGAAAACGTCAACTACTACGACACGTGCATGTGGGACTGGTGTAGTTCGTTGTCACCGTAAGCGTGCTGGTTTTTTTTTTGTTTTTTGTTTTCTTTTTCTTTTTCTAGCTATGCTTTTGCTTTTTCCACTAGACCATTGATATAGTAGTTTTCGGTATTTGAAATGACAAAGACATAAGAATGTTGTACCCTTTTTGACAAATAAAATACATTTTACAGTCTCTAAAATGTACTGACTGACCTGTTGTTGTCAGTTGTCAGTGACGAACGCGATTGCGATCAAAGCGTAGGTGCAAATGTGCATCATAAATTATGTTACATTAAAAGGTAAAAATTTTCAAAAAAAAAAACACGCAAAAAAAAAACACGCACACGCACATGATAACTGGTTATTACGTAATAATCCCTCAGACCTCACGATCAGTGCGTTATGTCATATTATGCGCGTATTCAATATATATTTTCAATGAGGAAGATGGAAGAGGAAGATGACTCCTTTACTGCACCCATATCAAATGATGATGAGGAAGATGACAGCGATGGCAACGATGAAGATCAATACAATAAAGCTACGACAATGAAAGACTTTGTCGAAAACCAACAACTGAAATGGTTTGCACAAGATACACAAACCGCAGATACATCAAGAAACTAACTTTTGCTGACAATAAAAAGAAAAGAAACTTACTCTAGTAGAGTGGCAACTTAATATTTCTCAAAGAGAAATGAGTATTGTAATTGTAATGTACATTTTGAATAAATTACTATAAGAGCAAAACCATGGAATTTACACTGCAACATTGACCACAAGAACAGACAATAAAAAAGGCTTCACATTTTCCAAAATGGGACATAGAAGTAAATTGATTTATACTGAAATGAATCTTACCATTTTTGTTGGGAGATATTGAGGATTGTTCAGCCATGGTTGCAACGCCCTTTTCCTAGTGATATCAATACAAACGTTAGTAGTTAAAGRTGTTTACCAAACAAATGCAGATTGGTAGCTCAATGCTATATCCGAAATTGAATAATCGATTGTTACATATCCAAAGCCAAATCAAATCTTTGCAAATCTATACCACAAAAGAGAACAAAGCTTAATAACTTGTTCAAACAATAAAAAAGAAAGAAGACATGGATTTCCTTTTGTATATCTAAGCTTGCGTATCCATGGAATAATAAAATACACATAAGTTAATAACGTATAAGCCTGCTGTGTAGACTCTTGGCAAGAATTTTCTGACTCCTGCAGCTGAGGAGTCTGCAATTTGTGCAAAGCAGGATAGCTCGTATTCTTACATGTCCATATTTTGCGATGTGAGTGATGTTTATTTAAATTTTTCATAATCTAAGCTTAACTTTTAAACCCGGATGCAAAACCAGCAAAATTAACTTAAGAGTACTTATTCAGAATTTTACTTGCATTGTTCGTTTCAGACATCATCTTGGCTTTCTTAGTTCCTTTAGATGACTGTGAGACTGAGGGCGAAACATCATTTATCATCATGACATCAAACGGAGATTTTTCATTTCCACGCACTGTACCATCAAATGGCCCGACATTTGGGCTGTTGTGACTGAAAGCATCAAAAGATCCTCGGAAGTCCTCTTCAAACTTTGACATAATGTCCTGTCCTTGAATTCGTGACAAAACGTTTGATAACTAACTTGAAAAGTCTTTCAAAGATAGAAGAACCTATACATTGAARTGATGGCAAACCTGGAAGTTGATGAGAAGCAGAATTCTTTCTAGCTATTGCTATTATTTTCTGTCTCTTGGTTTCTTGGATCAGATAATCTGATTAGGATGAACGTTATGTGTTTCTTAGTCTACTTGAAGGTAGACGTAGAACACCAAAGCTATCAAAAGCTCAAAAGCGAAAGTAGCTAAATTTCCCGAAAAAGAAAAAACAGTCCCTTCGCGGCCGCGCGCCATGTAAGTTTTCCCGCCAAACCAAAGGCAGCCCAACCATCCATCGTCACCTGCTGAGACGAAGCTAGTGACTTCTACAATAGTTAGAATAGTCTCCCTCTATCAACTATGTTATAAGAAAATGATGGCTTTTATGTGGACATCATATAAGAACATCTCCAATCCAGTTGAAATTTCCGAAGTGCTTTTTTGGGTAAAAGGCACTCAATCATCAATTCTAAACATATGGAATAAGACAATTTGCTTCTTTACTATAAAAATCAGTAATAATTTTCATTAAAGGAACCATAGGCCGCCCAACTAATGCATTAGAGACAGAAAAGAACGAATGCATACGCTTTTTGTATCGGCGCGCGCTCTTAGCAAAAATGCGGGTTACCTGTGGTGTTACGTCACTATCTCGCGCCTCGCGACTATACTATAATCTTGACAAGGTATGAAACACTGGTCACGTGACAAATCTTATTTTGTCCCTATCTCTCCAACGATAATAGTAAATGACAATTTTACCTACAATAATGATGTGTACTATGATTTTCCAACTACTTCATGAGTTTGGGTCTTTGGGATTTGTTTTACGAGAAGAAAATGATAATGAAGCATTTGGCTCGCCATGGACCGATGTGTGCCCCAGGTAGATGGGACACTTTTTCGGAGAACGCTCGGTTTTTTACATTCGCAAGGGCTTCGGATGGTTTCGAGAGCTGTCGCAAAGTACGAAAGTGAAACGAAAGGCTTTTGTAGCTGTCGACGAAGATTCGGCTTTGGTGACATCAACATCTTACGGATTTACTTGCGTAAAAGTTCGAGCAAAAAATGGCCGGAGACATTGTTACGTCTGTGGCATCAAAATTATTGCAAACATATATGAGGTATGAAATCCATGCCGAAATCCTTTTCATTCAGCTTTTTTTTCTTGTATAAAGTTGGTTCTACATCCTGGAGCATAAAAGATGTACACCTTCTTCGGTCTTTTGCTCAGGTTTACGAAGTAAGTTATGTAAATTTCGAAGTGTATGGTTCCCTGTAAGTTGCAGTACCAGCAAAACAAAAACATTACTTATGGGATTATGGCCAATTTTTGCAACATGGAAGAATTCGATATGCTTCCAGGACACAACATTAAAGCAGCCTGACATTTGCCAGATTCTATTTTGAGAAAGGTTACTGTTGCAAGAAAACTTTGCACTCTGCTGAGAAGTAAGCTTAATGCTGTTGTATAATATATCTGACAAGTTGAAGAATGGNTTATTTTCTGTCTCTTGGTTTCTTGGATCAGATAATCTGATTAGGATGAACGTTATGTGTTTCTTAGTCTACTTGAAGGTAGACGTAGAACACCAAAGCTATCAAAAGCTCAAAAGCGAAAGTAGCTAAATTTCCCGAAAAAGAAAAAACAGTCCCTTCGCGGCCGCGCGCCATGTAAGTTTTCCCGCCAAACCAAAGGCAGCCCAACCATCCATCGTCACCTGCTGAGACGAAGCTAGTGACTTCTACAATAGTTAGAATAGTCTCCCTCTATCAACTATGTTATAAGAAAATGATGGCTTTTATGTGGACATCATATAAGAACATCTCCAATCCAGTTGAAATTTCCGAAGTGCTTTTTTGGGTAAAAGGCACTCAATCATCAATTCTAAACATATGGAATAAGACAATTTGCTTCTTTACTATAAAAATCAGTAATAATTTTCATTAAAGGAACCGGACCGATTACTCCACCATTACTCAATAGTTACATTGTTCTCCTCTTCATGACGAAAAATAAAAAAAATAAATAAAAAAAATAAAGACAATCAGAAAAGTTCTGCTGAGGCTCTATGAACTGAGAACATTGCAGAAAACGTTACAGAGAAGCGGAAACAACAAAATGTTTTCCATCTTTTTATGTTCCTGCTTTAAGTTCATGAGTGTAACTGGCGGAACATAACCAGATCCTCATGCCTATGTCAAGTACGAACCAGCTTCTGCTTGTGTTTCTGCTTACGTGATGTTGTGAACCAGCCAATGAAGAGAAATGATGAAGCATGTAAACATCGACATTTTCGGTCTCTTTGATGGTCAGTGACATGGTTGAAAACGAAACACGCAAGTTTGAATGAACTTTGTGAGCGACAAACGTATTCTACGGCGTGAAATAACTGGACAAGCACAGATATCCCCGAAATTATCATTTATTGAGTATTTTCCAAGTGAAACTTAACCGATACCCATGTATTATAATATCTGACATAGCTCTGTATTAATAGGTATGGTAGTTAAACATATAAAAATAATCGTAACGTTAAAAGAACTTCACCCCCAGTAAGACGTGACCAAGACGACCAAATTATTCAATATATTTTTTGCATTTTGACGRTACTGGTCTTGTGTACGAATACCCCAAAATATAAGCTAGCATGTTACTGAGACCGACTTCAAGTGGAGTAGGTTCCCTATAAGACGTGATAAGACACATCTCACCACAGTGAAAACTCAGAAACTATCAGAATGAACAGCTAAATATTTGAATGATATTCAGACTAATACACCCATGAACACTCCTACTTGTTTTACAATCAGAGGGGAAGCACAATCGATTGGTTTTACGTCAGCGTCTATGCAATAATTAGTTCTCACGTGAATTTTGCGACTCTGCTTCCACTCTGGTATTGTACATAATTATTGTGAAAGCAAAATGAATTATAATCTAGCAGATTTATTACAATTAGAGTTGTTAACGACAAAAAAAATCATTATGCATTAATGCAGTGCATATGCTCCAAGAAAGAAACGATAACGTAGCTGGAGTCGAAGAAAAAAAAGAAAGAAAGAAAACGCGAAAAAATTGAATGGAACGAAATCCGTATGTACATCTACAATAATTCACCAAATAGTGTATTTAGTGTTTAGGCTAATAGTTAAGGTTTGTTATGTTGTTTCCTGTTGTATTACCATAAAAATAGTATTGACGATGGTTTTGTTTAGACTATCTACACAAAGTATTATAAATAAATATTTGTTCCCGTTTTGCTATTATTCAACATTCTAATAAGATTTTAACCTGTGAAGTTACCTCAGCCTTCAAAAATATCTCAAGATTAATATAATTTTTTTGTGAGTCCTTTCCCCACCATGAATTCCTATATTTTTCAAATGTGACAAGATATGAAACAGGCCCTTGTGATGCATTGTTGCAATCCATAGCTAAATTAAATCTTGAAAATAAAATCTGTCAATTATTTTAGTGATTATAATTATTATATCCCATATTTCGTTGGTGATTGGAAGATTATTATTTGGCCAGAGCTTGAAGAATGGCACTCACTTCTTCAGCAACAGCTGTCAGGGCAAACTCAAATTGGGCCTGTAAAACAATAGACACAATTTAGAATAAAATCCACTCACTATTTACTTTACAAACAGGCAACCAGCAAGCTGGTACAACTATCTAACCAAACAATGATCGAACCATTAACAGACAGTCAGTCAAGACATTATTCCAATTTGCATACCTTGGTTTTAACCATAAGAGGCCTTTGATCTCTTAAATGCTCAACAGTCGCAGCAATATCTATTTCTTTAGCACCTTTATTTACATGAAAAAACAAATTATGTGAAAAGGATAGAACAAAGCAAATATACAAGATACAATACAATACAACCATATTATGAAAGAAAAAACATTGATTTTGAATGATAAGAACGATGGATCACTGCACTTAACATACCTCTCATCATCTTGTTCAGGACCATGTCTATCAGAATATAGCAACCAGTTCTTCCAACACCACCACTGCAATGAACAACGATTGGGCAAGAACGACCTCGGAAGCACTTGTTCACCTTTCTGCATATYCCAATAATAATGTTATTATGATATTTATTAATGGAACCAAAAAAATAAAAATAAAATAAAAAATTCAGACAAACTCAATACAGTACCGTAGGTTTTTATACATATTGACTGACACTTTTTAGAGGCAYCGTGACAATCAACAAATTTTAGTTGAATTACTTTTAGTCTAATATTATTACCTTCTAAACTCCAGCAAAGGTTTTGGGTTTGTAGGTACATTCAGATCRGGCCAAGACAGGAAGTGGAACTGAGTCACTGTGCGAGTTTCACTTGTCTATGAAAAGAAAACAGTTGATATTTAAYCACAAGAAGCAGTTAGTAACAACCAAAGTGCTTCCACTTAGTTCCATGATGACAGTACTAATATTTAATGCACTATTTCAAGAACAGAAAATACTAGTAACGGAGCATGAATGCAACTCAATATGAAAATACATACTTGCAGATTCTTGAGGTAAAAGCTTCTAACAAGATAATCATCACACCATATATGTTCTGATACAAGATGGACCTACAAAGCACAACCATTTTAGAACAAAATGTCATTTTTAAATTTTAAAAAATTCTTTTTTGCACAGTTTATCTGTATGCGTTATAGACACAAACATTMAAATACATTTAAGAGCAGTTCCAATGATACTATTCAAAACAGAGCTATTACCTCGTATATATGGTAAGTTTCATGTCCTTCTTCTGGCCAGTATCGATTACATTGAGGCTGCAAACAAAATATTTTCAATCATAATTACTTTACTGACTACAGTATTGTCATGAAATAACATTCTCTTACCAGTCCTAGATCAGAGAGTCTTGTAAGGTTYACAACTACAACAACTCCCTGTTCCCAAATCATCTGAAAGTAATGCAGACAAAGTGTTCACTATGAGTCAATTTACTTTGTTAAGAATAMTGACAAGTTGATTAAACAGTACCTGCCAAAAATCWGATATGGTATGGGCCAATGGTCCTTGTGTTGCAATGTATGCTGGGTTTCGTGGATCATGGTCAGTCTGGATTAAATAAGTGGTGTTAATTAATGAGATGCATGCAAGAGAATGTTTTCCCTTGTAGTGTAGTAAAGATAACACATAATACATAAGACATTTTCAATAGATTTTCAATGGTTTTTATAATGCTTTAGCTGCAGCGCTAGGATTCATAGTAAAAAGTATAATTAAGCTATGGTCATACATCAACTTACAATGAAGCTTGCATTGACATAATCAGATCCTGTAGCATTAGCAGTCTCTCTCAATACAACCCTATTGTGATCATCTGCAAAGTCAGTAGAATATTTTATTATATGTAAGGAATGAACCTTTAAGTGCCATAAAGGAATTATCTTGATTTGCATTGAGCTCTACTTTRAACATTCCATGCAAAATTCCCTTTTATTTCTAACATTTCATTRAAACATAACATAAAAGGTTTAAGCTAGAGAATTTGATCTTTTGCAGCAAAACTGTGATRGGTTCAGCCTGCCACAAATACTACAACCTTCACATTAAATTAAGTATATAYTGAAAAAATTGCATTATATAGACCTATACTTACATGGAAGGACATCACTATATCTGTTCTTTCTGACATTCTTGTCTTGTTTCCCAATGTCTGTTTTATTAGGCTCAGCTTCATATGTGCATAATGCCTTCAAAAGAGTAAATAGTATCCATTTTAAGCATTACATTAATGAGGATTTCATTTTGTTCACTTTGTTGTTTGCTTGTCCAAGTAGTACATACCTCCCATTCCTTGTTTAATCTYTCTTTGTTCTTAAGGTGATCCTCCATGTAAGCCTTTGAAGAGAATCAKACAGTAAAATTAATCCTCATGCTATTTGRCCTTCACACCAAAGAACCCACTAACAAATTGWTTTTGAATTGTACTTACCAAGACTACATGGCCAGTTGATATATCCATATTAGGAACAACTGGTTCCTCACTCCTAAAACATAAGTAATTTGATTCATGAAAGTTAATGCTTCATGAAATTGAGTCACAAATGAGCTGAAAACTGACAWGTTTCTATAAATTGGATATCAATGACATGTTCATTGATGTACAATTAGAAAAGGTGTTTAACTAATTTAGTTCCAGTGTATTCAGACTATTGAAATGACATTGAATTAATACATATTATAAATATTATAATGTTTAAGGGTTTCTACAATATTGCTCATTGGTGTTAATAGGATACTAACCAAGAATATGGTGGTGGTTTAGCAGAACCCAGTGCTTTATCTTTGTCTGTTGGCTTGATTGGACTGCCTTCCCATCCTTGACTAGCTCGAAACTGTCTACAGAGTTCCTACATAACACAAACTGGTCTTAATGAAAGTTGTCTTTCTTGCTGAACTAAATAAAATGGGGAGGCAGTACTCATATTTCATTGACAGAAATATGGCTGATATAAGTACTGTRGTCCTAACAAACCTGATATTCTGCTGCGGCTTCCTGTCCAGGTAATGTCACAGGTTTAAATTTCTTGGTTTCATTGTARCTAAAATTAATAACCATTTTAAAATCATTGCTGTGAAAAGAAGTAGAGGCTTAAAATGATATTTGTTGAACTTTTCAATCAAATATAAGAGGAAATACCTTTTCATGATAAGATAGATAGCTACAGCAGAAAGAATCACTCCTGTCACACAACCAGCAGTAATCAAAGTTATAGCAAAATACTTGGGRTGTTGGTTTACAGACTGCTCTATTTTGTTGTTGTATTTGCTCTGGAGAAAAAAACAATAACATTGATAAACATCAGAAAAGAAAATAATAATTGCAACASTAATAATTTGACAAAGCCGAACTGGAGAAATTGTCTTTATATCATAGCAATAATACTGTGAACTTTTAWAATAGAACTTGATTTTGAATAACAGTGTTTATGAATTGTTTTCTTCCTGTTGTAAATCATTTTAATACATGTGATCAGCTTATGGTATACAGTGAGCTAGTACTTACACCTGTGTATGACTGAAAAAATCCTTGATTTTAAAAATGCAAATTTCATACTCAAACATTACACAGCCAGATAACATTTTTGTTCAAAATAGCCTTTTCTACGCAGTATACAATAAGGAATTATAATAAAAATGTTTACTTAGCTTTTCCTATGAAAAACRATAAGCTTAAATTGAACTCAGTCACACAATACCCAAGTTTTGACAAATTTGACAAATATGAAAGGACTGCCATAGATTTGCATTTTGATCACAATTCAAAATCTCCATGAAAATGAAATAAAACAATTTCGAATTATTATTCAAAAAAAACTATTTTATCCTTCAATCTATGTGAGTGCTAAAACCAAARAGGGATAGAAATATTATGTGTTTATACCTTGAACCGAGTGTAGAACTTGAAAGGGAGGATATAAATTATTCACAATGTTGGTGCAGACAAAGAGTTCAGAGGAAGTGATGTCATGACTTATTGATGACTAGAGTGACATCACCAGGACAACAAACACCTGACTCTTTTCATCAAATCAAATTCTATATACTTTTTATGCTATCAATGACCATTTATGTAAAAGTTGCTAATTAAGTATTCCTTGTAATGCTAAAGAAGATAACAGGCAGTTCTAAAAAGTGTCATTTCCCGGTAAAGTTCATTTGATTTTTTTTTTGTACAAAATCTTATAACTACAGTTGATCAAATTTTACAAAGATCACATATCAACCTAATCTCACATGAAGCAAGATGGCATCTTTGATATTTTATTTCCATATATTCATTTTTTATGTAGGGAAGGAACATAATCCAGTAAAAACATCTAGATTCATTTCTATACAGAATCTATCTTCTCAATCATATGAAATGAAGTCTTTACTTACAGGTGTATCATCATCTGCTTTCATGATCCTTACACCGACCTGTCTTGCAACACCTTCCTTGACACTTGCATCTAAAAGAGTTTAAACCATGACAGAATTGTGATTGAAGTTCCTAGTTTCTATCACGATGATTGTTTGTAATATTATGCTTATACAATCAAGTGTTCTTGAGGCAAAATTCCTACCAATAAATAGTGTTCTTTAGCAAGTTAGTACATATTTAGTTGTTTATCAGTCACTCAATTTTATATTCCTTTCTACATGTATTAGAAAGTATTATCATGTATATACCTTTGTTGATTCTTTTAGCTATTTCACTTTCATCTTCAGGACTGTAATCATTCTTAATCCTTTGAAGTTTAACTCCAGTTTTCTCCACTCTAAGCAATAAAAACTACATTAGTTAAGTTTTGTACAATATTTAAAAAATAACATTTTTTGATAAATAAGTATCARCAGGATTTTTTGAAAAGACAAGGGAAAATGGCTTACTTTAACAATTTGAACATGGGTGAAGGTGCATCGATCCATAAKGTTTTCTCTAAAATCTTGATGAGTTTAAAAGCTTCGGAGATTGTTATGCTGGGGACACACCAAGATGATTTTGCAAGTMTTGCTTATTATTCTTTTTTGTTATTGTTTTTTTCTTTGTGAAGGACTTATGAGTTAAAATGGAACATTAAAAGACAACTAACTTGATGAGCATTAATAGTTTAGCAACTCTGTTTGACATATTACACTTACCTRCTATCTAAGTCAATTTTCAATGATTTTTCAGAATCATCTTGAGATACTGGAAAGTATACAGAAACTGAATTACAAGAAATGTCTTGATGAAATACATTCTTGATGGTCGTTTATACTAACCTTGCTCTGCATTAACCTCATCTTTCACTTTCATGTCAATTGGSACAAAGTTCTTTTTGTTGACCTTTGAAGCCTCCTCTCTCTTTACTGCATTAGGTACGTCAACAATTGAGCTTGCTTGCTGGGATTTGAAGAAATCTTTGATTCTTTCATAATTCTTTTCTGGGTTTGGTCCTTGGTCAATGCTGGATTCTGCCTTCTTCACTTCTCCTTTGATCATCACTTTGGAGTTGGCATCAACATCATTTTCATCATTGCTTTCATGAAGTGTTTTGGTCTCTGCAGGTTCTGAGATGTGTTCAATAGAAATTTGTTCYTTGGCTTCATGAAAAGTTTGATGTGGTTCTTCTAAGGTGTCTGAGTGATATTCCCTATCTTGGTTGTCTGGTATACTAGCACCATTATTGACACTAATACCATCTCTTGTTCCTATAGTTTGTGGACGTATTTTAGKTGGAAGCCTGTTSTCTCTATCAGGGTATGAATTACGTAAATCTTTGTTYTCTAATGGTAAAGATTGGATTAAAGTCTTGTCTTCAAGGGTWGGTTCTGAGCTGTCATAATTTTGCTGTCTGTATGTTTCTTTCCATTGTGGAATATCCCCACGACGTGTGTTCAAATCATTGTTTACACTGTCTTCATCTCTACTATACCATCCTGGACTGTTACCATAGTAATAACCTGAATGAAATGAATATTACAGTAATCATGAATATCAAAGAGATTTCTATGCCTATCTTCAACATATTGATCAATCACTATCATGTGTAATAGGTGAATTAAGACATAAATAAGCTTTCAAAAATAAGGTCAAGCTCTGTTAGGTAAGGAAAGAAGATAAATCACTATGATGTTTATCACARTAAAACCTGGCATTGATGTTAATTCTTATTCTTTGGATGCATAATGAGATCATTTCATGCTTAATTTCATACTTTAATATTAAGGCATCAAAGGGAGCCATTTATCAGAGATGGTATTAACTTATTCAGTTATAATAAGCAAATCACAGGTCAATAAACTATATGAAAAATCAATAACATTTACCTTCAATTTCACTTCTCTTTACACATTTCCCCAACAAATATCCTATTTAAAATAAACAAATTGAAACAAGAATTAAAAATAATAATAAGACAACAATTTTTTATTTTGTTTTTTTAGCCTAATAATTGAAGTAGAAGA